TGAATATGTAAACCAGCATTATATCCTACCTCTCTTTTATATAATAAAAAAGTGCTTTGTATAAGAACATTACATTATTTGTCTTGCTGTACCTTTATTTATGGAAAGCTTGAATTGAGATACCCTACAAATTATTTGCAATAAATATCAAAAGAAGCAAACATTTTTAAATAATTTGACATTTAAGAGAAATTTACACATCACAGTTGACATCTTGATACTTGACAGGCACAGCCAAGCATTCTGATTTTTGCCAAATAAAATGGCCGGTTAATTATTTTATGGGGTTGCGACAGAGAACCAGTAAATTTGATGAACGTGTTTTTGTGGCTAAGGGCGAAATAGTAGTACGCTTAATTTAGCACCATCATAAAAAAGTCATTTTTAAGAAACTGCTTATATATTTTTCATAAATTGGCAGGCTTGGCGATTAATTTCGAATAAAAATAGCCTCCAATATGGCTATGGTTGCAAGTATGAAGGTCGCAACCCGCCTTAGAAATTTTACCTCTACTATCAACAGCTGTTGTTTGACAGGTCGTTAGAGAATGTTCGCAATTTATGGAATGTAAAGAATGTTAGGAATGTTGACGTTAGAAATAATTGATTTAAAGCGGGCCTTACACAATATCGGAGTGATTGAATCTTGTTAAGACTAAAGAGTTGCAAAGACTCGTTTTTAAGCTATAGGTTAGTATCTTTCAATGAGAATAAATCATTTTTAAACAGCAAAAATATTTCTTTATTAAGAGAGAAACATGTTCTTTAAATTTGAGCTAAGTGTCAAGATAAAGACCTAGACTTTTTTCATAGGAAGTAAAATTCAACAATATTATTTATTTTTAGGTGAATATCTTTATCGATTTTTTTACAAAGATATTTACTGCCGAATACTAATGCTTTAGATTTGGCTGAATTGATGGTTAATTTAAATTTGTCAGATATTTTGACAAGGTTTTCTAGATCATTATACATATTTATGCAAGCTTCTTGGATATTATTACTGTTGAAACTCATGTAAAGCTGAGTGTCATCCGCATAAAAATGAGCTGTAAATTATTTAATAGAAAAAAGAATTTGAGACGTATATAGAGAGTAAAATTGACTTCAAATCAGATTTACATGTTTCATTTTCGAATTTTTGATCTGACGTAGGTAAAATATAAAAGGTTTAATGCATTCAAATTTGTAAAATCTTATGAAGCTATACATCTTGATGCTCGCTAACAGAAAAAGATTGATGCTTTTGAATGTATATTTTTCAATTTCAGGTTCTAGCGGTTTTTTGATTTTTCAAAGATTCATTCCGCTATTAATAAAAAAAAAACAATAATTACAAGTTATAAGCGAGCTTATTTCTGCCAGGAGTATAAGTCTTGGTGATTTTACTTTCATAATAAAAAAAGTTTTAATAATATACTATTAGTAAGTTACCTCTATATGTATGAACAAAAAACTAATTGAAATTTAACACATTTTAAAATAATTACGATACCGTTACTATTTATCGATGTTCCGCTTCGATTATTCTAATGTTTTTTTTTACCAAACCGAGACTTTAAATTTCTTTATTTTCAATAGCCAATCGGGAATATTTCTCAGACCATTACTGATTGCTATAATACATTTAATAAAGGCAAAAAGAAGCTTCGACATCATCTCTTTCGAAAATGTGTTAAGGTATTTATTTATTTTCTGTTTTATTATATTATTAATGTAGCATTATTAATGTAGCATTATTTATTTATTAATGCTGGGATAGGTACCGATGGTTTTACAGTTTGAAACTAGTCTTTATAAAGACATAAAATTTTAACTGTTTTGTTAAATTAAAGCATCCTGCATAATATTTAGTACTAAAAGTTAATAGATAGAGGTTATTAAAGAACATTAAATTTTGTATGCTTATAAAACAAAATAAATTGACCAAGCCAAACATGGTATTTAGCCAAAACGGTACTTAACTTATTATCTCCATAGTTTCCTATAAAACAAACATCTCTACCCAATGCATAAACATGTATTATAATAATGATTACATTATGCAGAGCATCCTGGTCAATTTGTTGATGTAACTATTCCACAAAATATCTTAAAAAACATTCATGATATAGTGATCAATGATGAAAGATTAAACGTGGATGAAATTATTGTTATTATGGGCGTGTGAATCTACAAATATAATATTAAATGTATTAGGGCATAGCCCATAACATGTTTTCTTTACGTTTTTCATAAAAAAAAATATAGTATCGACTACACGCAACATAATATTATTACTAATCATAATTAACTAATTAATTGAAAGTACCGTGAGAACTCCTGTTCCACCAAACCTGAGGAATCCAGCATGCTTACATTTTTATTGAACTAAAAGTTTCCACTTATATGTATTAAAAATGATTTGCTAAGATAGAAAATAGAAATCGTAGCTAAGTGTGGGCTAAATTGAAAGAAACAAAAATGTAAGCGTTTAAAAAAAGCGGATAAATAAAATACCATGGTAAAGATTTGCATTCATTATTTTTCATTTACGTGTCGAGTCAGTTTAAAAGTGTCATATATGAGTCGTAATCAAGAAAAACGTCCAGAAAGTAAATTAAAGTATTTTTAAGGTCACTTGTATTTTTACAATATGTTAAGATAGTTTCTTAGCATATAGTCCAATCATTATAGTAAGTTCACCTCGGAATTCGAGATACCCAGCTGTAAGTCTGTAAATACTTGTATATTGACACCCTAAAAGTTGTCTCAAAACCTACATATGGTAGGGTGTACGCATCTATTAAATTTCAAGGTCAAAGGTCACAAAAATCGGTTTTTTGCGCTTTTTTTGTAAATATCTCATTTCCTATGGGTTTCTTGCTATTTGTATTTATTATCAATATTGTCGAATACAAAATTCTCTAAAAATTTTGTTTAAAAAAATTTTTCATACGGTGAACCGTTTTCGAGATAGATGACGGAGAGCGCGCGGTCACAGCATCACTTCAGGTCAACCGGTGCCTCCGGTCGAAAACGCGCCATATATAGTTGATGAAATATCGATAAATCAATGATTATAAATATTTGTCAATTTTTATTAACTATTATATTATATTTTATCATTTTTTTTCCTAACCTATCCACTTTTTATTTATTATTAATTTATTTAACAACACTTACCTGCCCATGTAATTGCAAAATTGTTAATGAAAATATAGGAATTATATTTGAATTTTAACCTAATTAATATTAATAAATTCTTACATGATGAAAAAAAAAACAAATAAATTATGAATTAATCTTTTTATTAAAAAATTTTATTCAATACATTTATTTTTATTAAAAGTAAAAAAATGGAATAAAAGGTACAAAAACTACAATTTATAATTTTAATAATCTTCTTCCTCTTCATCGTCGTCTTCCGGCTGCTGGTAAATTTCAAACTGGTCTTCATTATCGTCTTCAACGACATTTCTCTCAAGTTCTTCCATGATTTCGGGGTCAAAGGTTCCATCTTCGTTAATGTCGCTCTGATATGGTAGAGCATTGAGACAAGCTTGCCCATTACATTGGCCACAAGCTAAAGAGCATTGCAAGCCCGCTTTCCTGCATCCGCATCGCGAACCACAACCACTCTTGCAGTTGCAGAAAATTGTATTTAGCAAATCTTCTGGAGCAGGTGGTAAAATTGTCATGATAGGCTCCAGAAAATCGTTTCGCATTGCCCAACTCCATACCTGGGGTTCCAAATCATGCCTTAACCAAGTTTGAACTTAATAATATACACGTTTGAAAGGTTGATGAGCAGCTGCTTTTGTTGGTGGAATATTTGAAAGCTGCACAGGTTAATTAAGTTTTGTAGACTTGACGTAATGCATAGAACGAAGATGATCGAGACTTTTCACAGATTTCGGAGCATTATAGACTGCCAATAAGATTTGAGTTCCACTCTCTAATAATCTCTGGGCCGAACAATTTTCTTTCTCAAATGCTGCAGCTAGTTCATTCAAATTTGTCAGTTTCTCAAAAACTTTAAAAAATGATTTTTTCCCTTTTTAAAAAGCGCAGAAGTTGTGTCACAGCCACTTAATGCGTGCAGAAATAAAATATGTGTTTTGGAATGAGGATAATTATCAAAACTTTTAGTCAAGTATATCCCCGTTTTTACATTTCCTTTCCCAACTTTTTTAAAGAAAATGTCCTGTTCGTAAGACAGTGTACGCCCAATTAAAATGACAAGTAAATCAATATCTGGTCCTATTATAACTGCAGTTTTTTCAGAATTTGATTCTTCAATTGCAGTTTCAACAATAAGAACATCAGCATTATCTCTGGCTTGTTTAGTAGTAATATTTACAGCTTGTAATTTTTCAATTAACATATTAATGAGCATATCTTTGTTATTTCGATTTGATAAGAATTTTTCTTGAGTAACTGGTACAACTATTGTTTCATCTTCTCTGCTGCTCCATAGCTTTTACGTTCTTACTGTAATCTGAATTTTTTTAAACAAAATTTGTAGAGAATTTTGTATTCTACAATATTGATAATAAATACAAATAGCAAAAAACCCATAAAAAATGAGATATTTACAAAAAAGCGCAAAAAACCGATTTTTGTGACATTTGACCTTGAAATTTAATAGTTGCGTACACCCTGCCATATGTAGGTTTTGAGATAACTTTTAGTGTGTCAATATACAAGTATTTACAGACTTACAGCTGGGTATCTCCAGTTCCGAGATTCTTACCTAATTTAAGCTTAAATGACTGGACTAATAATAAAGTACTTTTAAAAATCTAGACGTGTTAGCTGCATTATTATCTAATATCTAAAAAATGACTTAGCGGGTTTTGCACCTGAAATTGAAATTTGTTAATAACACGTTTTGTATGGTATTTTATTTTCAATATAGGTAACAGAAACAATAATTAAAAATAAAATATCATTGAAAAGTGTCTTAAAACGTAAGAAAAACACTAATTTATAAAAAAAAAACAGAATAATATATTCATCTAAATTCTTAAATCAATGCCTGTTCCAAGACCATCATTATTTTGGCAGCAAACAACATCATTGACGTCTTCTGGGATCATTTGAAGAGGATGTACTGGATCTTGATCATTTACTTCTTTATAGAACTTTAAATTTGGCAACTCTCTCCATTCATAATGCTTACTCAACAAATTCGCCACGGATGCTGCTTTCTGAGGATCCACAGGTCTTCCTACTCGCAAAACATCAGGATTCAACATTACTAATGATATACCATGTTTAATAAGGCTTTTTGAAACTCCACAATCGTTTCTATAATTTACTTCGCCTCGTACTGTTATAGTATTGGTTCCTTCTATCGTTTTCAAAATCGTCGACGGACTATCCGCTCACCGCGACAGAGTGTTCAAAGAAACCAAGGCTTTATAGTGACTTATTTAATTTTGCAGTGTCAAAAATTTTTGCTTGAAAGAAATCAGCACAAGCTACCTAATAATATAAAGGAAATTTTAAATAGTAAATTGCACTCTACAAACCTAATCAAGTAACTATTTGCAATGAATCTATTACACAAACTGTAAATAAATGTATCAAAAATGTATTATTAAATTACTGTATACGCTCATGACCTTGTAGGTTAATGCGTTCTTTTTAAATAAAATAAAAACTGATTATGTAAAACACATTAACTCGACATTACTATGATTAAGGGTTGTTAGATTTCGGAAATCTTGTAGGGTATTAAAAACAGCTAAGTGGGTATTTTAAAAAGTTCTAAGTTCAACACCCTCGATGACTATGTATTTAAAAAAGCCCATGATGTACGGAATTCAAAGAGAAAAAGTTTCAAAAAAAGTAAAGTTCTGTCAATAACCAAAAGTTTAATGATTAAAATAATATTGTACGAAAATACTTTTTAGTTATTGAGATTAAATATATATTAAAATTAATTATTTTTGCGTAGGATCGATAAATAATAGCATTTTTATTTATTCCACATTTAAATTTGAATCAAACTATATGAAACTAATTTTTAATTACGAGTATTAAAACTAAAATCCTATATGTGGATGTGGAGATGAGGATCCGGCATCTATTCTGTCTTCTACAGAGAGGCCCGGATTCGAATCTGGGCGGGGGACTAATTAATTTAAATCTTAAGTCATACATTATTTTAAAATTAGTTATTTTGTCTTAATAACCTAAAATATTTTTTTTAAATTTGTAGATTACCATTAGTTATTCGTAGAAGAATATACCGTACAACTCAAGTGGATTGTCCGTATCGCCTTCGTCTTTGTTCGATACGGCCATCATATCCACTCTTGTTGCACAAACTACTATTTTCATATTGTTGCGTATAAATTAGCTTGGCGATGAAGTAAAGCAGTAAATTTTACTAGTTTACAATATTTTAGAGAAGAAAAATAAAATAATAGTGATTTAACTAGTCATATTGAATATAATACAATATTTTCCAAAATATGTCAAGGTGGCTCAAAAAAGTGTTGCTATAGTAAATGGTTAATAGAGAACACAAAAAACTCTACCTAGTCCAGTAATGTTATTTTATGAAATATTATCACATAGACCGAACTATATTACAATTGATAGATTGTCTATAACCTTCTAGTCCATTTTGGAAAAATATCTCAAAAGGATTGTACAAAAATTATTACAAGTAATTATTTATAACTTTTAAAAATCTAAATATAAATTGAATTTCATTTTAAAAGTTTATTATATTGTTTAGTTATTGTAACTTTACTGCGCTTAAGTACCGTTCAGATTAAAATAGGAATTGATTTATGGAGCTTAACTGAAAAACAGGATCTAATGCTTTCATTCCAAAGAAAAAGTATTTTGGTCAATAAAAGGAATTTCGAACTGTGATATCTTCAAGCCTTTATTTAAAAACTTTAAATATAATTATTATCATTATACAAGAGTCATCTGTACAAATTGTTACATATACCCAACATAAGTTTGTTGACATAAACATTATTTTCATAATACAAATAAATATATCTCTGTTAAAGAATGGTCATATTTTATTTAATCATTTAAACATGTTTCTGTTTTTTGTCTAGATCATATTGAATACTAACTTTTTCTATATAACTTCTTATACCCGACTTTGTGATATAAAAAAAACCTTATTGCCTATCACTTTTTTCCTTCAATTCATTTGTAGTTTTTGCTCAAACAAATAAAAAAATTTCGAGAAATCTGTAAAAGTGGCATCTAGTTGGTTTCCGTTCTCAAACGAGACATGCATTTGGTTTGTAAATAAAAGTAAGTTAGTATTTGTGGATTTTTTTTAACAAAGTCAGGTCTTAACCGTAATAGAATTTCCGACATGAGCATATATTTTTGCGTATCAATAATATAAAATAATATTTTTTTAACATCACATACTTCCCATAAATGAACAATATCCCATTCTATAAATACATGCACAATATTCCGTTTTGTAAAAGGAAATATTTCATATAAAAAGAGAATTTTTAATCCTTGTCACTTCAATTTACCCAGCAAACGGTCTTCTAAAAAAAGACTTCTAAACGTTTCATAAACCAAATTCTATTATACACCTCATTTACTAAAAGGTTTCTGATGTACTGTGTAACATTCTCAGACACTTAATATTTAATATTTGTGACAAGAGTGACGAGCGTAATATCTTGCGTACATCTCTTGCTTGGTTATTAAAAACTTGAAAGGATATTTCTTTCTAAAAGAGGCCTTTGATCTAAATATAATGGCGGGAGATGTTCTATGATATATTCTTCCGTTTCGGTATTTTGGTATGTGGTATATACGTTACGTTGCGAATGATTCGACTAATGTTTATGCAAGTTTTGAAGGTTTTACAGTGACAGCGACGTTAGCGAATATATTTGTTAAGTGCCACTTTTTTATTAATGCTTGAAGAGCCATAAAGATGTTGATAAGGGCGCAGTTATATCTTTTAATAATGTTTGAGCTTGTCGAATGGAAGGTTTCTTTAACAAAAATCGTGTACACTGAGAAACATTTCGTACTTAAATGACTGAAAGGACGGCATAATATTCTTATCATTCTATACCATAAGTTATGAAGTTTTCCAAAATTCTTCAGTAAAGATAAATGTCTAGTTAATAGCTAATTTTTCTATTTTATTTTTGTCTTCTGAATTTTATCTTTATTTTATTTTCGTATTGTATTAATATGATATTTTGGGATGAATTACTGAATAAGTTTACTAGTATATTACATAACAAGTGTGGAAAGTGTGAGTTTAGCACGAGCGTAGCGGCGAGTGCGGAAACTAAACGAGTGCGAGAAATTCAATTTCCAACGAATTGTGTACACTATTTTTTCTACGACCAAGTAAAAAATCCTTCAAAATTTCGTCGTTTGCAAAGAGGAAAGTCAACTAAACAATATCACACATGTACTGAAAAGTATATAACACATGTGTTGAAATGTAAAAAAATCCTCCAAAATATTTTTTATTTTGTAACAATAGAAATAACAAGAACTAATAGAATGACAATAAATATTTATAACTAAAGTAGAATTTATAAACAGAATAATTTATAAAATTTACATCTAAATTAGAGATAATAACTAATAGAATAATTAATAAAATATTTGTAACTAAATTAGATACCTACCTAACAAGAACTGAATAATTATTATTGATTAATCTCAGGAACTGTTTTAGTCTAATTGGGTTCATTACTTTTTCAATGGTCCTCGTATTATGAATTTCAAAGAGTGGAATGTATTTATTTTATGTTATTTCAGGGTAGCCAACCAGTCAACAGAAAATATACCAACCAAGAATTAATTGGAATTCAAAAAATAACATTTATTTCTGGACTCTATACATCAAAATCTTAAAAATCTATAATAAAACATTGATTCTTCTTCATACACTTTATGGACAGTGGCAATGACTTAAATAACCCACCTTCTCTGACTAATTTTTTTATATTATACGTTGGCATTGCCGTTGCCGTTATATCTTGTTAAATATGTTTTGAATTTAAAAAGGTGATTTACAGGTTATGTTGATTATGGAAGAGAAGATATGTATTTTTAAATCATTAAATGGAATCAGATTAATATTAAAAACAAATAAAATGATAAGTTATAGTTCATATAAAAATGTTCTACCTTTACAATTACATCGGGGTTCATAAATCGTGCCCTACTTGCTTCGTTTTCTTTTCACAGGGAAACTGAGAATCAGGGATATTGAAAATCCAGATGAATCTTAGAAAAGCACGTTGTATCCATCAATAACTTGTGAATTCCAGGACAAAAGGCAGAAGTCCTTTATAATACTTCCATATCCAAAATGTATGATCACTTTTCACTATTGTAAACAATATATGGGTATAAACTTATTGTACCAATTACACCAGTAAGTACTTATTACTAATTTTACAACAAATTATAGCTACTATGTTTGGTATACTTTCTTATTATTTCAATATTTAGGATGACAAAGAAACTACATCTCTTCGATTTTAAAATTCTCCCAAAAACTTCCTATACTCGAACAAAATATTGGAGAAGGTGACTCATCCCTGTTCACGTACAATCATCGTACTATACCAGAGCATAATGAATGGAATCACGCGCTTAAAACTGCAAAAGTTATCGGAATCACGTGCCAAATGCATGTTTATTGCCGAAATGTATTACGCCAGTAGCGTATAAAAACTATTGGCAAATGAAATGAATTCATTACTATTGTAACAATATAATTCTACTATTAAATTGTTTTTATTAAATTTATAAAGACACCAATATTTTACTATTTAATAAACTTTTAAAGTATCTACCTAATTGTAATCTATTGTTTGGATGGTCCCTTAATCCCAACCGATTTCTGGGAAAGCAAAACATCGTAAACCGGGCGGCGACAGAAAAGGGTCGTTCAATCATATTCTAAGGTTCAATCAGTGGGTCAACTATTTGGATGGGCAGATTATCGAACACCGTTGAGGAATGCAGTCGATTTCTTTTGTTAAGACTGTGTTATTCCATTTGTTTTAATAATTATTATGTTTGTAACATTATTTTAATATTAATAAACTTCATACGTAAGATAAACATTTTATTATTTGTGTAGTTTAAATAATATACTACACAATAAATATAACTCCTCGAATATGCCCTACCACTACCAAATTGAAGGCACAAACATGAACACCTACTCGTATATCAGAAAAGAGCACTTTTACAAAAAAGTGTTTATAAAATATAAAATAATTATCGTAAATAGTTAAAGCGATACAAATATGTAACCCGTCTGT